ATTACATGTATGATGTATGATATGTGCATTACATTAGAATAATAATATATAATGGATAATAGATAATAAATTATCTATTTATAATACCCAATATTTATAATACCCAAAATATTTATTTATATTACACATCTTTGTGCACATGTGTGAAAATGTATTAACAATGAATGACTAGTACTAGATTAGTGGATCAAATTATATGTGCTCTTTAAATGGTGGTATAAACTGCCAAAATGTCTTCCAATTTTCCCTCAGAAAGAGAAAATATGGAAATACCTATTAACTAATTTTGCTAAACAATGATCTGTTGGCTCTTTTATCTTATTTTGGTATTTTATTCTAATAAAAAATAATAATGTACTTTCTATGGAGATCATTAGCTTCTATATCACTATATTAATTATAATAATTAGCAGCATATCATTTCCCCACACTCAAATAGAGATAACAATCAAATTTTTTTTCCACTGGAAAAAGCAAAAAAGAAAAAAAAAAAGAGCCTGTTAGCAGGGGTGTAACAGAAATTTCCATGTATTATTCGTGAAGGAGTTAAGACAGACACACAGAAAAGAAAGAGCTAATCAACATAGTAGACAATATACGCCCACTTCAGAAACATTTCTGGTTGCTGATAAACCAACTGAGTTTTATTTTTAAAAGTCTTATGGATCTAAAAAAAAAAACCTCAGAAAATAAAAAAAAACAGTTCTTCCCCCATAAAATGTCCAAAAATAACTTTACAATTTCTCAGTGCAACTTGGTATCTAAAATGAAATTTTTCAAAAATCCTTTTTAAGATGTGTCTCTGGAGACTTGATATATTTTTGTTTTGAGGGGGTAAAAAAATGGAGGGGAGGTTAAATTAAAGTGCCTAATACACTTGAAAACAACAAAAGAAACCTTATTTCTTCAGTGTACTACATAAGCTATAATTAAACTTGAGCACATGATTTACACAGATAAAGATTTACACAGAATAGCTAAAAACTCACACCTCCACTAGCCACAACTTTTTTTCCAATAAGCAGTCTTTCCAAAGAATTCCCGTTATACTTTTAAAATATACACTGCAAACTCAGCTGCTCCAGTTTACTGTCATTCTCTCACTCTTGCTGAGATAAGGTACACTTCCTTCATCGTTTATACACTGATGCTATGAAGGGGAAATGGTATTATCTTTTATACCTTTGAGTGTTTGCTATTTTGTCACTAAGACGTTGACAATCACTCTCATCACTTTGACTAGAGTGATATAATTAGTTTTAATCCTAACCCCTTCTCCAGAAAACAATAATAAACAGTATCAACATTCTAAACATGGATGTAAAGTTAGCAATATTCTATGCTGGAGAATGACACTAAATGAGATTTCTAGGAAAACTCTAATTTTTTTAAAATCATGGGATCCATTAGTTATGTTGGTGTTCAACATGCAAAGAGAAATTCCAGTTTATTCTTTTTAAAGAGTTACTTATTTGCCTTTAAAAAAAAAAAAATGACCAGAGAGAGACAGAAAGGGAAAGTGAGAAAGCAAGCAGCCAGGTCCAGGACTTGAACTGCAGTTGACTATGTGGGAGTCCAGCACCTTAGCTACCACATCACCTACTGACACCAAGATTCTAGTCTTAATAAATACCACGTTCAGCCTGCAGAAATCAGGAATGGAGGACATGCACCATACCTTCAACCATTTCACCCCTGGTGAGTGAGTTGGAGTATGAGGGCACATGGGAGGGCAAAGTGCAGAAGTGTGGATAAGAAATAGAAAGGGAGACAAATAGCTGTTAAAATTTTACTGAATGTATTTTTAAGTCAAAAAAAGAAAAAAATAAAGTAAGCATCTCCTCCCTAAAGATTATTTTGAACTCTTAAACAAAAGTATACAAACATTAAATTTGGAAAGTAATTATTTCTGCATTTTGTCGAGGCTTTAGAGGTAACAAAAAAAAAAAAAGAGAGAAAAAGATTTATCAAAAACTTAAAACCTGGAACAACGTAAAAAAAAAAAATGAACGAGCAGATGGCATCAATCGATGAATGGTTACATCACTGGACTGCACGGCCAATTTTGGTTCAAGTCCTGGATCTGGATGCTTGAAACTCACGCCAGGCACATGTGTGTGTGTGTCCAAGATCTCGAGAGGAGAATGGAGGAGAGAGGACTGTGGTGGAATCATCTTCTCTAGGAAGTGATTTCTGCTTTCAAAGATCTCGTCTCTGTCTCTCTGGTGAGCACATGCACCCAATAGCAAAAATCTCAAAAAAAAAAAATAAAAAAAGAAAGAAAAGAAAAGAAAAGAAAAGAAACAAAGAAAGAAAAGGAAGGAAAAAAAAATATCCTGGCCACAGACATTATTCCTTAAATAACAAAATAATCCACATTTCAATGACCTACCTCTATTAATTCAGATGCTATGAAAGTGGCTATATCTTTTAGATTCTTAAGTAATAGTTATTTCCCTTAAGTTTTTACATGATAATTAAGCAGAAGAAACAAACAAATATTCTAAAGAAATGCAGAATGAACCTCAATGGGAGAATTCTGTGAAGGGGCACCAATGTACTTATAAGCCCTTTGGTGTTTAAGCTGCTGCACAGTCTCCAACTCTGAAAGAATGTGGCCTCTAAGTCCCTGTTCTTACACCTTCTGGTTAGCATATCTAACCAAGACCTCTCATAATGTGAGGAGATATGTAAAACTATTTGCATATCTCTAGTCACCACCTCTGGCTACATACAATAGTGTAAGTTATATCTAAAGGATCATGAAGATTCTCAATCCATTCCATTTTATCTTTTCTTCAAATCATTATAGAGTCATCTTTATTTTTCTTATATATCATAAACTATATGACTTTATTTTATTAATTATAAAGCCCTGAGATGAGCTCGCTATTTTAAAAGAAAAATAATTAATTCTAAATTCTCTAAGATATAACCTGTCATATCTATCATTCTGTCTATAAGATAAATATTTTGCAAAGAAACAGAAGAATGCACTATATGTTTTTTACATACATAAAATTTACTAGTAACAGTTAAAGTACTATAAAGGGACCACTCGAGGAAAAAAAAAAATCAAAGCCAAGAACAAAAACAAAACAATGTTGCAGGGATTTATCATGATGCAGGAACAATCCTATCTAAGAAAACAAACAGGAGTTTCCCAATGTGTTTTCAAATACCCTCATTAATGTCTTCTTTGTTGTATTGTAGCTTAAATATTTCAGTTGATAACTCAGCTTGCCAAAATTTCCTTCAACAAAAGAGTAAACTGCTTCAGAAAAAAAAAATTAAAAAAAAAGAGGGAGGCAAACAGACTTGAGTAAGCCAATATGTTGTGCTGTATACAGCCAGCATTTGCCCTGTAAAATATATGCTTCTCAGTATGCAGATTGTGTAATCCCTTTAAGTAACAATTACTAAATTAAACAATGCAATCTGTCCCACTGGCAAGAAGTGTGCTATGCTATGGACTAGGAGATTCCATTAGGAGATGAACTCAGCTTCCAGCCCTGAGGCCAGTAAAGACTGAACACATTCCAGACAGTATGCAGCCAGACAGACAGTCTCAGGTGTAGTGAGAGGGGACCAGCTGCTCCACTCAAGATTATACCTTGCAAACCAATTCAAGGAGATTGCCTAGCATCATTTGCAAGGGTAACAGGTGCACCCTGAACATTTGAAAAAAAAAAAAGTGCTTTGAAACGTTCTGTCCAAAAATATTACTTGTTAATCAGGAGGAAAAGTGTGTAGACCTGTAAAAATCCTATTTCCCAAGTTATAGGCCCCTTCCCATTGAGTGTGATTTATGTGGAAAATATGTATTTCATATATTTAAGAAACAATTATTGTCCAATTTTAGATTTTAGTATTTATTTATGGTATATTTCTCACTTAGAAAAATAAAGAAATTGCATTCAAACATGAACTCTTTGTCCAGAAGTAAATAAACACTTTGCCATATTTTTTTTGAAGTTTTTTTTTTTTTTTTTGCTATAGAGCACATGCGCTCACCAAACAAAAAGAGAAGA